GCTCTATGTCGCCTTCTCCCACAAGTCCCCTTGCCGGCCTCCGCCTCCACCGGCTTAGGTGAGCCTTTGTGCTGTCAGCGGCTCAGGTACTGCTCCTGGGTACATTGTTTTATTTTGGGAATTTGTTGTTGTTTTTTAAAATTATTTTCTTAATGGTGGTAAAAAACATGTAACATAGAATTTACTGTCTTAACCATTTAAAAATGTACCATTAGTAGTGTTAAGTACATTCCCACTGCTGAGGGACAGAACTCCAGAACTTTTCCTTTCCTTTTTTTTTTTTTTTTGAATATTTCATTTATTTATTTGACAGAGAGAGACACAGCGAGAGAGGGAACATAAGCAGGGGGAGTGGGAGAGGGAGAAGCAGGCTTCCCGCGGAGCAGGGAGCCCAATACGGGGCTCGATCCCAGAACCCTGGGATCATGACCTGAGCCGAAGGCAGACGCTTAACGACTGAGCCACCCAGGCACCCCTCCAGAACTTTTTCATCTTGCAAATCTGAAACTCTGTACCAGTTAAACAACTCCCCATTTCCCCTCTTCCTACCCTAGGTGCATCATTTACCTGTGTCTACCCCCTCCCATCCTGCCCCATTAGACTACGGGCCCCCTTGAGGGCAGGCAGCTGGGTCTTGCTTACATTTCCAGCACCTAGCAAGGCACCAGGCCCATGTATGAATTTACTAATTCAACAAATTTGAACTGAGCACCCACTGGGTGCTGTGGCACTGTCTTAGACACTGGAGACCATCCAGGGGATGACAACCAATGTCCCTGTCCTTGTGGATTTTATACTCTAGCTATGGGGAGACAGAACACAGAACCTGCTCGATGGTGATAAATGCTATGTGGAAAGCAGGGAGGGAGGGAGGGTGGAGGGTGCAGGGGGTGCAGTTTTGATGTTGAATAGAAGAGAGGAGATACTCTCACTAAGTGGCTGACATCCAATGCATAATGTGAAGGAAGGGAGGGAGCCCTGTGGCTCTCTGGGGAAAAGAGCCTTTTGGAGGAGGGAACAGAGAGTGCAAAGGCCCTGAGACAGGAGTGTGCCTGGTGTTTCCTGCTCGAGGGACAGCAAGGAGGTCAGTGTGGCTGGAGTGAGGTGAGCAAAAGAAGTATGCTGGAGAACATGGAAGGTGTGGGGTGGGGCAAATCTTAGAGGCCCCTCAAGGCCCGTGTGAGGTGTCTCAGGAGGTTTGGGCAGGGGAGCAACATGGCCTGACTTGGGTTTTACAGGCTCACCAGGACTGTGGTGCGGAGAGTAGACTGAGGGCGTGAGTGGTGAATGCGGCCCTCCCCCTTCATGGCAGGTCTTGTTGCCCTGCTGTGGGAGTCTGGGCAGCTGACAGCCTCCAGCTGCTAGCTCTCTTGGGTCTGCTCCAGCCGTGGGGTGGCCCCAGGCAGGCACTGAGCCAAGCGGGGGTCAGGGACTCCTCTCACGGACCATCTTTGTCGAATGGACACTGCGCCCCGCCACATGTCTTGTCGCTCCATCCTGCTCCCTCCCCTTCCCATTCTTCTGTTCCCCAGGGTCAGGGCAGGAAGCAGGGGCCTTGTTGTAGTAACCCAGGGGTGAGATGATGCGGTTGTTTTAGCTCAGGCTGCTAGAACAGAATACTGCGGACTGGGGGCGGGGGGCAGACCATGGAAATTTACTTCTCGCAGTTCTGGAGGCTGCAAGTCCAAGATCGGGGTGCCGGCATGGTTGGGTTCTTGGTGAAGACCCTCTTCCCGGTTTCCGCAGGGCTGGCTTCTCATGGTGTCTCACATGGTGAAGAGAGAAATTTCATCCCTCGTGTGTCTCTTCTTCTAAGGGCACTAATCCCATTCTTGAGGGCTCCATCTCGAAAGGGCCCCACTTCCCGATGCCATCACATTGGAAATTAGGATTTCAATGTATGAATTTTGGGAGGACACAAACATTCAATCTGTAATAGGAGGCTTGGACCAGGGTGGTGAATACGACATGTTTACCTTGGGCTGCATGGTGGGGCAGCTTCTTGCAGTAGGTGGGGCTGTGAGGGCTGTGTCTCTGAAATCTAAATCTATCCTATCCATGATGGAAGGAAGCTTGCAAGTGAATCCTCATGCGATGGGGAAGGAGGAGATAGAAGTGTGGGCCCCGAGAAGAGAAGGCCGGGGGACATGAGCGCCACCTTGTGGTAACAGCCTGGTGTGCTGGGGACTCTGGATGGTGAACACATCCTGGATGGGAGGAGTGAGCTGCCCCGCTCAGAACAGCTCTCAGGCCACAGGTGGGACACACAGAGCGGGGACATTCCCTCATCCATGGTCCTCGTCCACAACCTGGAGAAGATCAGTTGTGCCGGGATAGCCGATGACATCCTCCGGGTGCTCTGACCTCCAAGCCACCAGTGATCAGGCGGCTGAAACCATCCTGGAAGATGCTGGGGTGTCTGGACATCACCCTTCCCTGAGACCTTTACAATCATCCAGTCTGAGCTGTGTCTGACCCATGCTGTGGTCTGGGCGGCGAGCATGCTGGTGTCGGGATATTTACTAGATACATTAGCACCGTACTGCTGTGTTACCTACAGTGTCTCCTTTTATCTCTACCATCCTAGGAGTAGGTACTGTTCTGAGTGCCAGGCTGAACATGGTCCCCTTGCCCCTTGGATCAACTCTCCACCCTGCTCTGTGCCCCGGGAGGCCGAGCCCTACCGACTGCCTCACGGGGCTCCCTTGCCCTCCGGATTCTGGTTGGGCTGGGTCGGTGGGAGCCACTGGCCAGTGAGCAGGAGATGCAAAAGTGAAGTTGGGGGATTTATTTGGTCACCGGGTTGAATGCATCCTTGCAGCTCCAATGTGGTCCCTGTCTGGCAACCCTGTCACTAGCCCCAGGGCGCTGAAGTGGTCTTTGTGGGTTTCCTTAATTATGCCCATACCTTTCGATTTTTTTTCTTTTGAGAGAGAGAGAGAGGGAGGGAGCACGAGTGGGGGCAGTGGCAGAGGGAGAGGGAGAGAGAATCTCAAGCAGGCTCCATGCCCAGCGTGGAGCCTGACGTGGGGCTCGATCTCATGACCCTGAGATCATGACCTGAACCAAAATCAAGAGTTGGATGCCTAACCAACTGAGCCACCCGGGCGCCCCAATCATGCCCATACCTTTTAAAAACAATCCCTCAAGGAAACTCTTGAAAGTTACTGGGTTTGATTGTGCCATCTGTTTCTTGTTGGGCCCCTGACTGATGCAATTCGCTGTACTGATGACAAGACTGAAATCCTGAACGCTTGCCCACGGTGCAGTGTAGTGATAGTGGTCATGACGTGGTTAAGCTATGATTCAGACCTGGGGGGTGGGTGTCAGCCCAACCCCAGGCCCTTGAAGCTTGGCTGGCTTACCCATCCCACTAATGACCGCACATAAGAGCAAAGGTGAACCACAGCCAGTTCTGTGGACGCGGTGATCTGCCCTCTCCCTGCCTGCATTGGCTCTTGGCTCACACTGCTCCTAGATTTCTGGCTCCTGGCCTCTGATCACTAGGTGTTTTTCTGGATTATTAGAGCCCTGCACCTCCTTTTGCTTCCCACTCTGGTCTGGCCTGGATGTTGGTGTCCTCTAAATTGCAGGTCACCACACAGTCCTGGGAGTGGGGCTGTGAACCACTCGAGCAGTTGGTTAGTGCGGAAGATGAGTGTGTTTCTGCGCACCGCCCCCCCCCCCCCAGGCTCTGGGCTGTTTGAGTTCAGCTCCTATTCCCCTGTGCAGTCCTGTGCCGAAAATGCTCAGGGAAAGTGGAAGGAGATGAATAATGCTTGAGTGACGCTGAGACACACGTCTTTAGAGGAGACAACCGGGCTGTTGTGAGCATATATAAAGAGTGAGAGTATGAATAACAGGAATTTTGTGTACACAGGGTGGAGATGTGGGTTGTTGATGGCAGTGATTGGGTTATAAAGGTGGAGGGGGTGTGACTTGTCTACAGAGAGGACAGTTGATCCTGCACGTGCTCAGGGCAGGGTCTTACTATAAATGCTAGAAGCTCAGTTGCAGAGGGAGCACAGCGCCCTCTTGTGACCATACCTATAATCACAACATATATATTGGGAGGTTCCTCCCCACATCCCCACGTGGATCAACCCCCGCCCCAGCCCAGCTTCTGCTCCAGCCTTGGCCACAGCCCCATCCTAGCCTCACCCACAGACATATAGCTCTCTCCCCTCCTGAGGGCTACCTTCCCTGCCCTCAGGCCTCGTGGGTGGGAGTGGAGAACAGAGGACGGAGCCAACCTGTATAAAACAGAGCCTTTATTGATTTCAAGGAACATCTACCTCGAGTCTCTGGGAGCATGGTCTGGGAGGCTGGCACCAGGTTGAGCACATTTATGGGGAGAAGATGGGAGCTAAGCTGTCTGAACCTGGGGGGAGGAGGACTGGGCAGAGGGGGGCTTCCCCTGAAGGCAGTGGGGACTGGGAGGGTCCTTGCATATCTCAGGCAGGGGCTCGAGTCGCCTCCTCCTGCTCCTCGTCACAAGCTCACTCTCAGGCCTCAGACCTCCCACTATTTCCTTTCCTCCCCAGAAGTCTCCAAGGAAATGGAGATTCCCTTTGATCTGGTGCCTCTAACCAGGGCAAGTATCTCCCGCTTTGTGGCCTCCAGGCCTCTGCACCTGCTGTTGTCTCCGCTGGGAAGCACTTCCCACCTCTCTCAAACATTACTTCCTCAGCAAAGCCTCGCCTGGGCACCCCCTCCTGGGTTAGGTGGAAGTCCCCTCAGTGTCCCCTTGCATGCAGTAGCTAATTTGCTTGTTTCAGTGTCTGTCCCCACCCAGGGCTGGCCGGCTCTGGGGTAGGAGACTTACACCCAGGCAGACAACGCAGTGCCCAGCGCTCAGGAAGTCTGCCAGAAATGAAATTGGATAGATTAGGAAATTCAAAGGGGGGGGGGCACCCAGCACCTGTAGGACCCCTCCACCGGTGCAGTCCTGTCCCACCTGCCCCCATTGGGAGCCCCAAGGGCCTCTCCCCAGCCTGTGGTCAGATAGGGGTCATGGTGGGTGCTGACGCGTGCCTCTTGTCGTCACCAGAGTCGGAGCCCAGCTCCCCGGCCTCCACCAGCTTGTGGTGGCAGCGGCAGGTAGAGGCCCGGCTGGTGGAGGATGGGAGGCTGCGGTTTTTGGGGGACTTGTTCTTGGTTATGCCCCGCAGGACCCTGTGGAAGATGAGGTAGCAGATCTCGCAGATGGTGAGCACGATGCAGACCGCAGAGGCCCCCACCATGAAGTAGGTGAAGACCTTCTTCTCGGTGGGCCGGGCGATGTAGCAGTCCACGACATTGGGGCAGGGCGCCACGTTGGCACACTGCACCAGGCGCGGCATGCCAAAGCCGTGCCAGAGAGTGTGCAGCACGTAGAGGAAGAGGAACTCGATGACGAGCTTGAAGATGAGGCTGAACAAGTAGGTCCACCACAGGCCGCCATGCTTCTTGCCCGCGTTGGCGTACAGCTTGGCGCACTGGTCCCCGTGCTTCTGGCGGTGGCGGCGCTCGCGCTCCTCGCGGTAGGCCACGTGCAGGATGACCAGCAGCGAGGGGCACGTGACGAAGATGAGCTGCAGGGCCCAGAGGCGGATGTTGGAAATGGGGAAGAAGTTGTCGTAGCAGACATTGGTGCAGCCCGGCTGCTTGGTGTTGCAGTCAAAGTCCTTCTGCTCGTCCCCCCACACGCGCTCGGCGGCCACCACGTACACCAGCACGCGGAAGACAAACACCACCGACAGCCAGATGCGCCCGAACGCCGTGGAGTACTTGTTCACGCCGCTCAGGAGGGCCTGGAGCGTCTTCCAGTCCATGGTGCCGGGCGGGGGTGCCGGGGGCCGTGCCTGCCTGACAGAATAAAAGGGGAAGCTGTATGTTCATGACCAGGTGACATTTGTTGAGCATTGCCTATGTGCCAGGTGCTGTTCTGAGTTCTTTATGCGGATGGATTCATGTGATCATCCAATGACCCTTTGAGATGAGCACTGTTACTCTTCCCAAGCTGCAGGTAGGATAGGGGCGTAGAGAGGTTAAGTAACCTGCCAAAAGTCACAGAGCTTGTATGCGGGAAGGAAGGGGATGTGCATGCTGATAAACAATGGCCATTTATGCAGCATTTACGGTGAGCCAGCCACCAAGCTAAACGTTTGGTGCAACATTATCTCCTTTAGTCCTTATAATGACCCCACGAGGTAGATACTATTATGCTCCTCATTTACAGATGAAGAGAACAGTTGTAAAGCACTTGGCACAGAGTAAGTGCTCAATAAATGCTGGCCACTCATTGTGAAATCTAGAGAGGGCAAGTCACCCATTTAAAACTACAGTTGGGGGGCGCCTGGGTGGCTCAGTTGGTTAAGCCACTGCCTTCGGCTCAGGTAATCCTGGAGTCCCGGGATCGAGTCCCACATCGGGCTCCCTGCTGAGCAGGGAGTTTGCTTCTCCCTCTGACCCTCCCCCCTCTCATGCTCTCTCTCTCTCTCTTTCATTCTCTCTCTCAAATAAATAAGTAAAATTAAACAAAACAAAACAAAACAAAACTACAGTTGGATTCTAGGTTGGGCTGGTGGTGCCAGGCCATGCTAGCCACCACCTCCTCTCCCCTTCTCTGCTGGATGCCTGTCCCAGGCCAGGTTCTTGCAACTTACTTCATCCATGCCTTGCTACTGTCTTGTGAGGGCGGGGCTATGGGCCTGTAGGGGCCAAGGGCAGGCCATCCCAAAATAGGCCACTTTGGCATGAAGATTGCTTTGAGTTAAAAGCAATCAAAACCCATCAGATTCAGGAAAAGTTCTTTACCTCTCTTTCAACTGCCTAAAAGAATTCATATAGAGGACCAGCTCCAGGAAGATAGTTATCACCACAGATAACTACATTTTTATATGAACTAGGTATGGTAGACAGGGGGGAACCTAGCAAGGCTTGTTTGATCAAAATCCTCTACATCCCATGGTTTCTGAGTGGCCTGGCAAACATTTGTTTCCCAAATATTTATGCATTTTCATCTTCTGTGAATTGTATTCCTTCCCTGTGAAGTCCCTGACCCCTATTCCCTTCTCTTTAGTTCAGGATGACATATATACCTCATTTTGCCTGTCTTTGGAATTTCCTGTCCGTGTGGATTCCCCATACATATGAAATTAAACTAGATTTTCTCCTGTTAATTTGTCTCATGTCAATTTCATTCTTAGTCCAGCGAGAAGGAGTTCGGAGGGTGAAGGAAATTCTTCCTCCCCGATAAGCCCCATTCTACAGAGAGGAAACAGGCTTGGAGAGAAGAAATAACCTCCCCAGGGTCTCACAGTCAGTAGGTGGTGAACTTGGGAGACCAGCTCAGGTTGGGAGTGAATGGGGGATGTAATAATGGTCTGGCTCCTGGCACACCAGATCCAGGGAAACACTAGAGACGACCTCCCCTCCCTGTGCCAGAGCTGGGGGGGAGCGCCGGCTCCCCCAGGCATGCCGGATGCCAGGGCTTTACGGTAGGGAGACATACTGTATTCAGGCCCCCGAATGACACATTTTTCTCCCAGTGCTGGAATGACTCAGAGGGTGTGGACGGGTGGGTCTGCATGAGTATATTTAGTGTCTAGTGCCATGGGTGTGGGAACACGTGTCTCCCCATGTGCGTGTGTGGGCCTGTGTGCACATGTGGGCGCTCTTGGAGCTGGGTTTGTGACTCTGAGCAAGCATAGTGCCTGTGGGTCCAAACCCTGCATGACTGCTTCTCAACCCTCCACTGCTACCGCCCTCCTTCAAGCCCCCATCACTCTTGCTGGTATTATTGCCACAGCCTCCTCACTGGCCTTTCATCATCCGGTCCTGGGCCCTTAGAGTCCGTGAAATTGGATCATGTCACTCTTTTGTTTAAAACTTTCTACTAGCTTTACGTTACGCTTAGAATTAAACCCCAGATTCTACATGCTTGCCCTCCTCTCTTATTTTCTCACCCCGATTCTCTCTGCTGTGGCCACACTGGGAGATTTGGGGGTTCTGCAATTATTCCTGCTGCCTGGAATGCTCTTCCTCCAGAACCCTGTATGACTGGGTCTTTCTCATCACTGAGGTCTCTGCTCAAACATCATCTTAGTGGCCTCCACAGATTACTCTGGAGCTAGGAGCCCCTGCCCTCCAGGTCACTCCCCTCCTGTCCCCTTTATTTTCTTCCTTGAATTTAATCACCATTTCAAAGTAAAATATGTTATTTTTTTTTGTTCTTATTTATCATCTGTCTCCCTTACTAGAATGTCAGCTCTGTCTTGCTTATTGCCAAGCTTATGCCTAGTGCTTGGCACATTGGAGATACTCAATAAAGGCTGGGTGAATAAAGAAATGCATGCTGACTTCTCAGAGAGGCAGCTTGGAGGGAAGGGCTGTGAAGTGTAGGCAGGGACCCCCAGGAATGACCTGGACAAGATAGCCTGCGGGAAGGACTCCCCCCCACCCCCCGAAGGAGAAGGCACAGTTGCTTCTCAACACCTTGGCTCTCCTGATGCCTCTTCTCTGGGAATCTCCAACAGGACGGTGTGACTGAAGACCTCATCCCAGGAGACCCTCCTCTTCTCCCCCACTTGCCCCTATGAGACCTGGCCTTTGGGGAGGGTCAGTGGAATGTGCACCGAGGCCTCAGCCCTGCCACTTGCTAGCCCGGTCACTTCCAAGAATCCCTTGATAGTTTGAACCTCCATTCCTTCTCTCTGAAGGGAAAGACTTCCTACTTTCTTGAGCTGTTGTAAGAATCACAAGACCGTTCCTTTGCCAGCCGCCACTCACCTGGTGGGAGTTCGAAAATACTGAAGTGGTGGTTGGAGCCCCGACTGCCAGCCCTCAGAGAAGAGGGGCCCTGTCACCGGACACCCATTAGGGTGCAGCCCCCTTCTGGGTCCTCACGTTCCACCTTCCGGTCCTGTCTGTCCAGTCCCGCCTGACACACCCCAGGGACTCGACTCACCTGAAAAGAATTTCCCTCCGAGCCCAGAACCGGGACTGGTGGAGCCAGTCTGATCACCCCCAGCTGGCGCCCAACACCACCTCCCAGCCATCCGCTTTTTCCTAGCCCGGGGACCCAGTCTCGCCGAGCTGCCGCCACACTCCAGGATGCCCCCGCCGCGACCATCCCCCTCAACTTACCTTCCTCCTCCACCCGCCGCACCCCCTTCCCCAGTTTCCTCTCCATCCCCGGCAGCTTTCGAGCCTTCCAGCCCCTGGAGCCCCCACCCCGCCCAGAATCGAGCGGCGAGAAGGCAGTGGGGGTGCTGGGGTAGACCCCTGCACCCCCCAACCCCGCCCGGGGTCGCCCGGGAGCGCTCGGGTCCCGGGGCCCCCGCCCCGCACTCACCCGGAGCCCGCGTCCGGGAGCCCCGCGCGGCGGCGGGGAGGCGGGCACAGCCCGGGGCGGTGCGGAGAGGGGAAGGTCCGGGAGGAGCCTGGGAGCCCGTCGGACCGCGGGGGTCCGCGTCTAGTGCCGCCGCCACCCGCTGCCGGGGCGGCCTTCCGAGGGCCCCGTCGCTGCTCCGAGCCCCGGTTTCTTCATGTAGGAAATGGGGGCATCGGTAGCCATGGGCAGGGCTGTGGCCAAGGCTCCAATGAGATCAGGGGCGGGAGGCGCTCTAAACTGTGAAGTGCCGTGGCCCGGGACGGCCTGCAATCCTGACTCGCCCACGCGCGTTACCACGGCTACTGTACCCGCGCCCTGCGCATCACTGTCCCCGCCCGGCGCCCGGGCCTGCACCCGGCTGGAGGGGGGGGAGCACTGTGGGGGTCGGCCCTCCCGGCACAACGGCCCTCCACGGCGGCGCCCGGCTCAGGCGCTGCGTCCTCCAAGGAAGCACGCGCCCTTTGGAGAACCAAGTGGGGCGCAGACTCTGCGTCCACAAGGGAAGGGGCACGGCGAATCCGGTGCCTGGAAGGGAGATGGGGGGGTCCTTTGTCTAGGGGTGAGGGCTGGTAGGGAGAGGTTGTTGCCTGAGTTATGCCCAGGGGCAGATCCTGTGGGGGTGGGGGTGTTGGGGGCAGAGAGATCCCTTGCCCTAGACGCTCTGCGGAAAGAGGAGGGCCTGCAGCTGGGCTGCAGGGGCCTGGGCTCTGGGGACAAGGTCGCTTTGTCATGGTTATTAGTGTGCTATGACAAGGAGCCTTCCCAGCCTCCTTGGAGAAACCCCAGCGTTTCTGGCCTCCCTGGGAGTCCTGGGATCTTAGTCACCCCAGGGCCTGAGCCCTCACTGTCTCCATAGAACTGATTATTACTAACACAGGGGTGACTATACATGGCATTTTCCCAGGACTGTTCTGGTTCACACCTGTGGCCCCAATGTAATTAACATCACCCCCTTACTCTCAAAAGTGCCCCCAAACCTGGGAAGATCAGTAACATGATCACCCTACCTACTACTCATTTTGATAGAGAACTAACCCTGCATTGGACGCTCAGAGACATCTTTGCTCCAGGCATGGCTGGAAGACTATTTCATCCTCAGAGCCACGGATGAGGAAAGCATGATCCTTCCTGATTTTAAGAATGAGAAAACCGAGGTACAGAGAAGTTAGGTGACTAGCCCAGGATCATACAGATGATAAGGAGCAGAGCCAGCTCTGGAGGTCTCAGCCATGTGGTTTCTGGATAGGGCAAAGCCACAGGGCAGACACCATCTTTTACTCATTGGGTCCTGGCCCCTGAAAATCGTTGCTGAGGCTCAGTGCTGGGGTGGTCCGGGTGCTTCTGTGTATGGGTCAGTGCAGGGGGATGTGTGAGTTTGACAGTGTCCTGTGAGGGTCCAGGACTCTGCCATCTGCCCCCTACCACCTGTTGCTCTCC